CTCTTAAAGTCGATTTTTTGTTAAAAATTGGGAGTAAAAGTAAACTAAAGTTTTCCAGCTGTGCAACTCTGGAATTCAAATACTGGACCAAAGTGCAGTATTGGGCTTAAATTTAGTTGGTTCATTGTTCTCCAGCAGCCGCTTTACTTTGTATAACTTGAAATGCAGTGTACTTCCTTTCCGTATAAGATTTTCAGTAGTTATTAACAAAATAAAATTGCCAAATAGATGACATGATAAAAATGATCATGGATGAAAACTTGTTAACCGCATGAATTATCAGAATCTGCAAAACTGAGTATCTTGTGAAAAAAATTAACATATTTTCAAAACCAAAAAGTGGATGGCTGATGAAACTGAAATTCAAATCTGCCTACTTACCTAAAAGCCTTGTAAATTTACAAGAGAAAAAAATATTGGAAATTCTTTTTGTAGAAACCTATTGGAAACCAAATTATATATCTTGAGTGCTTCATCGCCCTTAGATTTTAGCATCAAACCATAATCATGAAAGCAAAGCATTCTATGATGCAGACATTAAATAGTTTAATGTATATCGTGTGCGTGTTAGCATCAATATTAGGCACATGCATGAGAAGTGCAGGACAACCTTAGTACGTGATGAAATCCTAATGAAACAATGAAATGATGGTGATGAAATCCTAATGAAACAATGAAATGGTGGTAACAAATTAGTTCTAAAATGAAAAATTACTGATGTTTTCAAAAGTCTAGCAATAAGATTATCATGCAATCTTAATGATGCATGCCAAAGGGAACTAAACTATCATACTGAATATGCATGAAGATGATCTTCATAGTTCAAAAGGAGTTAACATGTAAATTACCAAGTACTTATCTTAAAAGAAAACGATCCGGACATCCATAATGATTTAGTAAAAATGTTAGTTTTAAAGTTCATTCATTATAGAGTAAAACATGATTCAAGGTCCATACCGAATTTCGGAGAAATATAATTACTAACATACAAACTAGATTTCAGATATGTGAAAAAATATAACCATCACTTAGGCTTAGCAAACTAACACACTTTTTTTATGATGAAACAAGAAGATATCAACTTCACAAGTAGTCTGTTTTGACATTGATCATCTAAGCAAAAGGAATCCCTTGTAAAGTAAGAACTGCATAACCAACAAGTGGAACACAAGTTTCTTTATTTAATTCAACTTGCTTTGAAGTTACCTCCTTTTTATAAGATCAAGAAAGGGCTCAACCAACACAATTTGAGAGGGAGGGGAGGGGAGGGGAGGGGAGGGGAGGGGAAGGTGTGGCTAGGCACAAAAAGAAGGGGTTGGAAAATCATGCAAAAGAGAGAAGAATCATGCACTAGTGTTGACTAACAAAAAGAATTTTTTTTTTGAACGCATGAAAAAGCAACCGCCTCCGTCGGCCCCACCTCCCCAAATGACACACTGTTTCGTTCCGGTAACTGCCATTCGACAAAGGAATCAAATAAAAAGGGGAAAGAAGTTCGGAAAGAAACACTTACGCTCCCTCATTCGCTCCTTCGACTCCATTGTTTATGTTTGGCTTCGTTGCTTCGCAAGAGAAGTCCAGGGCTCGCCCTTCATCTTCTCTTTTCTAGGTTGCTATTCCTGTTCATTGATTCGCAGGAGGTGCAGAGATTGCAACGTCGTTTCTGTGGCTCCTTGTCGCGGTTCGGCTTCGTTGCTTCGCACGTCGCTTCTGTGGCTCCCTTGTTGTCGTCCGACTTCGCCACTTCACGGGAGGGGAGAAATCGCACGGTCTCTTCTTTGGTTCCCTCGTTGTTTGACTTCGACTCCCTCCTTGCTATCCGACTTCGTTTCTTTACAGGAGGGCAGAGATTGCATGCATAGCTTCTTCGGTTCTCTCCTTACTGTTCGGCTTCGTTGGTTTGTAGGAGGTATAAGATTACACGAGTCGTTTCTTCTGCTCTTTTGTGGTTGTTCAGCTATGCTCCTTCGACGACTAACCTAGCCGAATCGGATCCTGCCCGAACCAACTCCACTTTTTATGTATATTATATATATATATATATGGCAGATGCCGTCCCGATTTCTCCCTCGGTGGGAAGGAGACGTCGGGAGGCTGCTAAAATTTCGAGAAAATTATAGAACTTTTTGGAGTAATTATAGAGCAATTAAATTTGAATCTTTTATTAATCAATTAAAAAAATTTAATTAATCAAAATTAATTAAAATTAATTAATTAATTATTTTAAAGAAAAACCCAAGAGCATTTGAAATCTGTAAGTTTCAAAATATGAGAGCTTTTTTTATGAAAATTTTAAATACAAGAATTTTAAATTCTAAGAGTTTTAAAATCTGAGAGTTATTTAAAAGTTTAAGAGCAGTGAAATTTAAAATTGATTTATTGGTTAATTATTTAATTAATCAAATAAAAAATAATAATAAAATAAAATGCAGTAAAAAAGAAAAAGAAAAAGAAGAGTTCCACCAATCAACATGTGCTGCTCTCCCAACCTCTCCATACAATCTACTCTCAAACTCCCCAAGTACTTTGTACAAACTGCTCTCAACGATTGAACTCTCAACATTGAAACTCTCCAACTCCACATTCTCAACACACAAAACTCTCTGGTACAAAACTCCCAACAACTTTCCAACTCTATAAACACTCTGCAAGCTCCCCTGTACGAGCTCCTTTACAACTGCAAGCCCCGGCTAATGCAACTATTGGCTAAAAACACCTACAAACAAACAAATGAAGAGTCAGTATATCATAAATAAATTGAATGAATGCTGATAAATATAAGCTACTGAATGTAGAGCATAATACTGGAAAGCAAGAAAAGCTAAATGTGAAAGAGCTAGTAAAACAACAATGCTAGAAAAAGAGTAGTGGACTACTGTAATAGGAAAACAACTACGAGCACATAACAACTAAAACACTAACCCACTGTCCAAACCCCGAAGTGTCAAAATCACAAACTCAAAACAACTCAAGTACGAAACAAAATTTCAAACATTGTATAAGCAACTACTGTCTATCAAAACAATCAAATTCAAAACTCATGGGTAGCCTTGTTTATAAGAACTTGATTGTAAGACCCACTACCCGACAACTTTCAAAAAAGGAAAGTAGTAAGTTCGACTTTAGGGGAAAGCTTTAGGTAAAAATTGACCTAATCCCAACCCCCAATTAAACATTGGTCACTTCTAGAAGAAGTAAGTCCGACCTCTGAGAGAAATATTTAGGTCATAATACAACCCTAGACCCTTCAATTGGGCATCCTAGTCTATAGGGTTTGGTTGTAAGACCCATAACTCAGGCCACTTAGTTTCCTAGACTAAGTCGTGAGACCCATCATTAGGTAACTTCTAAGGAAGTAATAAGTCCTACCCAATTGAAATCTTCGGGCTACTTCTAAGTGAAGCCGTAAGTCCCACGTTTAGAAAAATTGTTAAATAAATAGCAATGATCCTAAATCTAAAGCAATCAAATTTAAACTTTTGGGCATCTTAGTCTAAAAGGATTAAGTTATAAGACCCATTTTAAGGCAACTTCATAAGGAAAATAATAAGTCCTACCCAAAGAATTAAAACCTCCGGGCAGCCTCACTATAGAGTTAGGTTGTAAGATCCATCCTTGGACAACTCATAAATAGATCAGTAAGCCCCATTCCAAAGCAAATATTTGGGCAACTCATAAATAGAGCAGTAAGCCCCATTCCAAATTAAATCCCTGGGCTACTTTCTACGAAAGCTGTAAGTCCCAACTTAAATCTAAATACTTGGGCTACTTCCTAAAGAAGCCATAAGACCCGCTCCAAACCAAACTCCTGGGTTACTTCTAAATGAAGTCATAAATTTCAAACTAAATAATTCTCTGAGTATTCTAATAAATGTAAACCCCAAAACACCTAATCAAATTAAAACTCAAATCTCACCACTTTAGTCTACTCGGGATCCCTGAGAGGAGGCAACCCATGGCTGCCAATCAGATTCCCTGGACACTATGGTCAATAATTATTAGTGTTGTTAGACTGAAATCTACGGTATACCCGGGACGACGGAACCATAGGATCTTGATCGGGTTTACCTCCACTTCCCTATTATTGAGACTAAACTTATCTAAAATTTATTCACCCTTAATCGAGAGTTCTCTCTTACGTAGTAAGAGGGGTAATTAACTATGAGTGCTTGCGCTCATAGGAAGTAATGACCCGAAATCTTTAAACTCTGACACTACCCTCAGGGAAAATCTGGTTAACTACAATATGACTTAAGGGAAATGAAATCCTACGACTGCAAAGAGGGATTCTTTCTTTCGTGCCGTTTTTCTTGAGCCAACAACTAGTAAAAATGTGGAGAAGTCAAAGAGGAATTGGTGAAGTTGTTCTCTACCTACTTCTTAAGCGAAGAAGTTGGATGTGTTTACCTACATGTGTCTCACAGCCAATTTGAGCAACTGCGACGAGAACAATAGCTAATTGGTAAGGTGTTGTGAGAAACGGGTTCAAAATACCTCAATCACAGTCAAAATCACTCAAATGTCACCTGCTCATAAAATGAACCGAGTTGACATGTTTGGATCATCAAAATCCTCATGAAAGGATCTCCATAAGCGATTCAATTGAATGCAATAAAAATGATGTACTATATACATGACATACAAAATTCGCTAGAACATTACCCATTTGTGAAACAGATTACATTGACATGTCCAGAGTATTGCATTTATCCGAAAAGGACCCATTATGCTTAACTCGATCAATCACGACCAAAACAATTTCTCCTTACATCCCTGAACCAATGAGAATCACTTCTTCCCTTACATTTTTTTAATTTAATATTTTTATATTTGCTTAGTTATAAGAATGTATAACTTATCGTTATGTCAGATTCTCACTCTAGTCTACGCTGACCTATTGTAGGATTCTTTCTCTATCAGCACCTGAATGAACATAAATTTCTAAGTTAGCATGAAGTACATATTTTGTCCTTACCTTTCTTTCACCTTATATTTTGCAGGCAAACAATGATTTATTTGTTGTAAGAACACTTGACCGGAAAACACTCTGGGAAATGCAAACTCCACAGGTTGTTAATACATGCATATCCTTATTGAAATTGAAAAATACATAGACAACAAAAATTTCTTAGCGATATATTGCGTTGTATCTTGTAGGTTATCAAGTCCGATTTACTCAGAGCTGGTTTTGAGCTTGTCAACCAGTATGTTGCAATTAATACTTCATCCCTCAACACCTTCATCAGTCTTGACTGAATGATGTTTGATTTTATGATTTTATTGATTCTCCATACGTATAAGTAAATTTGAACTGTATCGTTAAACGTTCATCATGTGCCTTCAGTTTCTTGAATTTCTAATCATCTTATATTTTTTAATTTAACTGTAAAGTTGCATTCATTCATTTATGTAACAGGGAAGGTCTAGAGGTTACTGACGATGTATCTATCGTGGAACACTTGAAACATCCTGTGTATATAACAGAAGGTTCTTATACAAATATTAAGGTAATGCTTATGAGTTTGAACCTTCCGCAATGTCGGGATGGAACATCTGAACACTTTCCACTTAATTGGTAATGAAATTTTCTTGATCATTATATAATTGCAGGTTACAACTCCAGATGATCTTCTGTTAGCAGAGAGGATAATAAACATGGAAACATGAGCTGATTCTCTTATTATCTTTGCAGTAAAACAGACGAGAAAATTTACTCTAAACCAATTATTTGTAGGACTCTGATGAAAAAAAATGTATTAATTGATTATTCGTTTTTGATGGATTTATTTTAATTTAAAGAATTAAATGGTTCAGATTTTTTATGGGCAGAATGCTAAGTCACATTTATATATTGGTATAGATTTAAGGAGCTTTTCTGTCATTTTTTTTCCCAGGATGCATTGGTTAAAGTGAATCCCTGCAGAATACCTAGTGGGTATTTAAGTTAAAGTCCAGGAGCTGTAGTGCAATAATACTTGGGAATGTCCGCATTACAATGCTTGTATCAAATAAATTAGGTGCGGATACCGGATTTAGAGATGCATTCGGATACTGCGTATTATATGTTTAAGTTCTGCCTACGTTCTGCGTACTTATTGAGTATATATTGTGCATTGCATTAAATAAGCTGCAAAAAAATAGTTGTGAGGATTTGCTACTTATTTGTTGTGTAATTACAAATACGTAGTGTAAGCAGAACGTATACAAAATATAAGCATAGCGTATGTAGAGCGTATGCAATGCATCCAGTAATCCGGACGCATCTCTAAGTTCGATGTCCGCACCTAATAATTTTCCCAAAACTTAACGGTCCCATTGCATAATCATAGATTAAATGTGTTTGCTCAGCACTTTAGAAGGGGCATCTCCAATGGTTGCCATATGAACGTCCAAGTGGAGGGGGCCTGAACTTATTAAGCTTGATTCATCATAGTCCAAGGCAGCAAGGCAATACAGCACCCACCAGACAAAAATTCAGTAGCCGAGAAGGCAATGTAAATAGAAATTTCAAGGCACAAAACCAACAAGGGCCAGGGCAGAGAAACCAAGATCCACATAAGAGGTGCCAATATTGAACGGAGTTTTAATATTCTCCCCATTAGACCACTTGGAGATTTTATGAATTTTAACTTGGTCTCATGAAAAATTAGTCCTGTATCAAACCGGTTTAAACTCCGATTCAAAAATCTGTCGGTTCAATTCATATTTTAACAATTTAATTTAATATATATAGTTTATTAAATATTAAATTAATTTAACTATAACTTATTTTATTTATTAATATATATATCCAAAAAAAATTTAATTTATTATGTGTTAAGCATTAACAAATCATACTAACATAATTTCACCATAACATATGAGTTTTTAATCAATGAATATAAGAAAAGCTATATCAATAAAATAATACAAATCTTTCAAGTGAATATATAATATAAATTAATAAAATAGATAGAGCACCAAATAGAAAGGTATAAATAATTTTTTGAGTCATCCATAGAGAGCATTTCATCCAAATAATCCATAACCTATGCGAGGTTTGGTCGAAGAAGGAAATTCTTTAACCCAGGGATAATAAGAGCGGCCAAAATAGAAAATTAAAAATCACAATAAAAAAATAAGTGATTAGCGCTTTCATGAAAGGAGTGACATAAAGGACAAGCAGAATCAATCTGAATATTATGCTTGCGTTAGGCATCGATAGTTTTAATCCCATCTTGCAAAGCTAACCAAGCATAAATGGAATACCTCAAAGCATGCCTCTTATGTCAAACACATTTGACCCACTCATAGGAAGTGTCCTCATTATAGTAGTCAATATTAGTGGCCTATACTCACTACACAATAAAAAAGAGCAAACACATCTTGGCCATAGAGTTATACCAACCCAACACATCTACACCATACACTTGTAAAGAAAAGCACATGCTTGGATAAACGAACAACACCTTTACCTTCATCCTTTATATACACATGTTTACACATCAAACAACGCGTTTCCTTTATATAATTTTACTCAATGGTTACTTCTACAATAGCTTTCTTTCTATGTAAAATGATATAATAGATATTTCTTTATGATATCAGAGCAACTTACATCATGGTATTTCCAATGCTAGCATGGAGCAGTCGGTGACAACACAACTACTTGAAGACAGGACCAGCCAGGCTTATAAGCAGAAGTTCAGATTTCATCTTCTTTAAAATTTGTTATTTCTAACATCAAAACCATCGTTTCCACCCAACTCTCTAATGACACATAACCTATATGAAAATCTCAAATCGTTAAGCTATTCTCTGCTAATGGCTTTGACGGCTTCATCTATGGAACTACGTCACCCCCTCCAACTATCATTTCCAACCTAGACTCGACCATATGCATCAATCCTTCTCATAATCTATGGCTTCTCATAGATAGAAATCTAGCAACAGCCATATGCACAACTCTCACCCCCTACATCCACAACCTCAATATCTGCTTCAAAATACTGAGAACTCTAGAATGACATCTTTAAACAACAAATCAATCTTGTATTATGCAACTAAAAAATGAACTCTATAACATACCCATGAAAACTTCCTCATCAGATCAAAACCTTTGTGGATTACATTTCCGCATTAGGATTTGCAATTGATCCAGAAGGCATATTCCTGTATACCCTCAATGGTTTTCCTCCATAATATAAATCCTTCAAAACGTCCATTCGTAGCCAACTCACACCTATAAGCCTTGATGATTTCTATTCACTTCTAATCATTGAAGACATTATCACCAATAAAGCTACCAAATCCAATAACTCTTATAACCTAGGCTATGCTCTATATACAAATCATGATAGGGGATTCCGAAGAAGAGCTTGTTTTTAGATGAACCACTAAAATAGAGAAACTACTCTTGTACATTCAACAACCACACCTCTCATTTATTAAATTTGCAATAAATAGGGACATTCTACATCCACTTGTTGGCATCGACTCAGTGTTAATTACACTTTACCTTCCGAACCATCTATACAAAAGGATATGCTCGTATCACCTTCTAATCCCACATCAGAATGGATATTGGAATCCAATGCTTCATCTCATCTCACACCCTACATCCAAAACTTAGTTCATCCTACATATTACATAGGAACTAACCAGATCATCGTCGATAATGGTAACACTACTCCCATACATCACACGAGGCAAGGTTTGCTGCCTACTCCTACATGTAATATACATCTACCTAAGCTTTTTTATGTTCCTCACATTTCTCATAATCTACTATTAGTATACAAACTTACTCAAGGTAATAACCTCTTTATCTTCTTTGATTCATTTGGATATTAAATCCTTGATCAACTCAAAAATTGTCTTCATAAGGGTTTAGCTCGTAATGGTCTCTACCCACTGAACCTCCCCACATAGCCAACTATATTTTCTTTCATCACAAATCTCTCATATGACCACCAGTGGCATAAAAAACTTGGACATCCTCATCCCCGCGTCATCTCCAAAAGTAATCAACATCTCAATATTCTAGGTCATACATCTTCATATTTTTTTGTATATGGCCTCTATGAGCCACAAGTTATTGTTCTTACCTTCTAGTAATCACAAATGTACCCCTCTAGCACTTCCACATTCCGATGTGTGGGGTCCTTCCCCAATGTTATCATCTCAAGGTTTAAAATATTACTTGTTAATTGTTGATGACTTCTCATGCTATATATGACTGTTTCCAATAAGAGAAAAATATAAGGTTGCAAACATCTTCATTAACATCAAAAAACTCATTGAAAACCAACTTTCATCTCAAATAAAATATCTATGTAATGATTGTGGAATTGTATTTCTCAATCACACTCTCACATCCTATCTTCAAACCCATAGCATACGCCACCAAACAAGCTGCCCATACACTCTAGAGAAAATGGGTTAGTCAAGTGCAAACATTGTCATATCATTGAAACAACAAGAATAATACTTCAGGAAGCTCACCTTCCCTATCATCTATGGCAAGATATTTCTCTAACTACTGCCTATCTAATATATCATAAGCCCTCTTCCATCACAAAACACAAGTCCCCTTATGAACTTCTCTTCAATCAACCATCCTCATACGACCATCTGTGCATATTTGGGTGTGCATGATTTTCGTGGCTGTCCACCTCACTTCACCACAGACTTCAACCAAAATCAATCCTCTACATCATCCTCAGCTATTTAGAAACTCACAAGGGATACAAATGCTTCAATCAATCCAGTGGAAAAAATTCTCATATCTCATTATGTTTAATTCGATAAATCCATATTCTCGTTTCTTCAATAATCACCACATCACTCTATTAATGCCACTATGCCCAATCCATTCCTACTCACCCCTACTTAACAAACATCAAAACTATCACTTATAAATCAGCTCACTCGTCCACTTTCCCCATCGCGCTTCACTGTCTCATCCAACACAAATACTTCCAATTTAACAGAGCCAACTCCATCCAGTAACACAACACCCAATTTATCACCTGTTCTACCATCTGCCACAATATTATCAACCCACCACCTCACCATCATATGTTCTCAAGATCACAAAAAGGTCACCTAAAACCTCGTCAACCTCTAAACATCTTTGTCATAATTGCATCAACAAAAATCCACAACATTTATCGAAGCCAACAAACATCCAAAATGGTGGAATGCAATGATAGCATAATTCCAAGCAATATAATAGAAGGATATATAGACACGTGTTCCTAAACCACCTAATAGGTCAGGTGGCTTGCCAAAACTTGCAGGTGGGGAGATACATAAAATTATTAGAGTTTCTAAAGCTTAATGTTGTTAAAGTAGAAAAATTTTGGTTCGTACTCTCACGAGCCTCCGATTGAATTCCAGGCTAAATAAAAATTGACATACAAACAAAAAATTAAAAAAGTAGATATTTCTAAGCACAATCAATGTAAACAATCAACTCAATTAATAATGAAATAAATTCAAAGTTTATGTGGTAAGTACCACATAATAGTACAACCTAGGGTCTGTAGAATTTAAAAGTGATCGGGTACCACTAATAATAACATGGATTCTATACCTAAGACTGACACAAGTAACTTTTAGAATGAGATTCTTCTTGGTCTTCACTTCTTTATCGTTATGCAGTCTAGCTCCTTGGATTCATCAAGTCTAGATATCCAAGTGAAAAAAAAAACTATTCTCCGAAGGGGTGTTTTCTTTTCTCCTAGGATACTTAAAATTATCCTAGCATAAGTTTTCAATTGGAGGAGAACTCTCCCTTAAGGGATGTTCTCTTCTCTTTGAAAT